TTATTTGCAGCTTCCCATGGAAACTGGAGGACATCTTTTTGCCTTTTGCCCCTTCCTTGTCTAACTGTGTCTTTAAGTCTCCCCAAAACCCCTGCCCCCTTACAGGATATCACTTCTACAGATGTGCAATGATGAAAAGCAGCAAACAACCCCTCAGTTCTTCGCCATCACAAGACCTACAAGACCAGAGTTTTCAAAGTGCCCACAGCTATCTCTTTCAAAGGCTATAGACTGACGGGGGGGGGCTGACAAAGGGGGGAGGAGTTGAATTGCAAGGACATTTTTTCACTTGAACCTCAAGCCTCTGTGCTCCAGGATTCAAAAGATACATACGTAAAAGATCACAATTGTGTCAAGATATGCAACAGATATTTAATTATTTTGTTTTGTATTATGTGTTATTATGTAAGAATGTTGAAATGTGTCTGACAGTGTGATTTCCACAAAGGGGGGCAATTTTTGTGTGTAACTGTTTTTATGTTTTATGTCTCATTGCTTACACACCAATGGAGAATTCTCATGCATTTTATACTTTCTAATACTCACACTATTGTGTAGTCCAAATGTTTAGATCAATTTATAACCACATTTCATTGTTCCAACTGACACTATGCCAACCTTCCCTACCCATTTTAAAAAAATGTGCTAAAACTTGCTTTACCAAGGAGAAGCTTCTAAGAAACATGAAGGTGTATATGCTTTGGTTTAGCAGGAATGATCCCTTATAGACTTAAATTGACTTATTTGGACAACCTGCCCTTGTTAAGAATGGTTTTCTTTTAACAGATTGGTTTGAAGAGTTGAGAACCATGGGGCAAGATAAATTCAAATTGGACTCAGTTTGAATTGGGCAAGTGTATCCAGGCTGCAATTAGCTTTTTGGTCCTTTAAGTGCAAGTGAGCAACTTCCATGAGTACAAGACCCACAGCCTATAATAAAATCCCATAGCTAAAGGCCAAGGCGAAGACCTCTCCCTCCACGAGATGCCCAAACCTGTGCCAGCTATGGTGAATGCCAGGCGACATGGTTAAATGAAAGCCCTGAGGGGATCAACAGACAGGATGTGTTGCTGTAGCCACTTGTCAGTGTGAGAACCACAGAAGAGCTACCTTGACAACCTGAGAACACAAAAATGGCGGGGGGAAGCAAACTGCACTTTTCAGTCACTTAGTGGACCTTACTTCCTGCTAGGTGTAAAGCCATAGAACACTATTGAGTAAATGGTCTCTCCCAAAGTGTTAGAATGCCACAAGTTAATTTAGTAGCAAACGCCAACATGTGTTATTTTTTATGATATATTTATACAAACACACCCATTTACAACATACGATGTTATTATTTGTGGGGCAAAAATTTTTTAAGAAAAATTCTAGCCCCAAAGGGGGGAATAATGTGATAGGAAATTTTTATGGTCTTAAATATATAGTAATGTTCATAACTGCCACATTACATTAGATCAGCACAGGAAAGCCGCACCTGGAACCATTTTGATTCCTTAAACTGACCAAATCCTTTCTCTGCAAGGTTAAAAATGGAAAAGCCTCCCCCATTGTCTCTTCCTTCACAATCCTGTCTTAATCTGTGGTTTGATAAGGTGTGAGCCTGTGACCCTGGCCTAGGAAATAAGTATTTTTAGGCACTACAAAAGAATGGCCAGGCTCCCCCAGAAATCAATCAAGCAACTTGCCAGACAGGAGTAAACTGGGACAGGAGAAAAAACAACATTTAAATTTTCTGTGATGTAGGTGGGATGTATTCTGAGGGGTGGTCTTAGGTTACACCCCTTCTGTGATGTTATGCATAATGTTTCTGGGGTGGTTCTTGATCTTAGAGGAATGGGAATTTCAAAAGTCTTTATAAGGTCTTGCAC